AGTCCACTCAGATTTCAGACCCTGCTAGGAATCATCAACCAGCTCTGGATAAAGCGCTGATAACAGAATGGTTGGTTATCTGTCTCAAACCATAACAATTCCCAAGAAAATCATTTCCAGTTTTTCTTTTTTTAAAAAAAAATCTTCGTGTATTTTGAATTATAGCATGAATTAAGGAACCTATTTATCTCCTTGGAAGGATAGTGGGAAAAAATAACAAGTTTATCTTTGTCGTTGTTGTTGTTGTTGTTTAATTTCCACCCACAGCATTGAAAAATATGCCTTTTCTCTGAGAATTAATGAGGCACTTAGCATTCATATCGCTTCTCAGGGTAAATCTGTGTTGGTGGTCTGATAGGGTTTGGCTTTGTGTCTCCCTCCAAATTTAATTTAGAATTGTAATTCCCATAATCTCCATCAGTCAAGAAAAGGACCTGGTAGGGGGAGGGTCATTGGATTGGAGGGGTGGTTTTCCCCATGCTGTTCTCCTGATGGTGAGTTCTCATAAGATCTGATGGTTTGATAAGGGGCTTCCCTCCTGGCTCTCTCTTGCCTGCCACCATGTAAGACATGCCTGCTTCCTTTTCTGCCATGATTATAAGTTTCCTGAGGACCCCCAGCCATGTGGAACTGTGAGTCAATTAAATTAAACCTCTTTTTTTTTTTTTTCCAGTTTACCCAATCTCGGGTAGTATTTTCATAGCAGGATGAAAATGGACTAATACATGGCCTTAGTGAAAAATGGAATGTGGCTTTCAAGCTAAAATAGCCAGTTGAAGAATTTTTTATATTCCCTCTTTTCTCCTTTGCATGCTAGTCTGAATACTGTTTTTTTTTATAATGCCTCAGTTTTCCCATGTATGAAATGGGGATTATGTTGGTTTTCTATGGCATAACAAATTACCAAAAATTTAGCAGCTTAAATCAATACTCATTTATATGCTCACAGTTCTGTAGGTCAGAAATCCAGGGATGGCATGACTGGGCATGCCACTCAGCTCTCACAAAGGTGAAGGTGTTAACTGTGGCTGTGAAGCCATCTGAGGCTGGGGCTGTCTTCGAAGTTCATGTGGTTGTGGAAGACTTCTTATGGTTGTAGGGCTGAGGTTGTATTTATTTGCAGGTTGTCAGCCAGGGGCCATTCTCAACATTCAGAGGCCACCCAGGCACCTCACCCAGTGACCCCTCCACATCTTTAAAGCCAGCTGTGGAGAGTCTCCTTCATGTTAAATCCCTCTAATGCTTCAAATCTCCTTTGCCAAGAAGAGCCTAGGTCTTTTTAAGAGCTCTCCTGATTAGCATAGGCCCACTGAGAATAATCTCTGTTTCTTCAAGTCAGCTGATTTGGGACCTTAATTACATCTACAAAATCCCTTCACAGTAGCACCTAGGTTAGTATTCAGTTGAGTATCTGAGAGAACACCTGTCCACCAGAGGGGGAGAATCTTGGGTGTTCTCTCAGAATTCTGCCTACTGGCTGGACACAGTAACTCACAACTATAATCCCAGCACTTTGGGGGTCTGAGGCAGATGGATATCTTGAGCTCAGAAATTCAAGACCAGCCTGGGCAACATGGCAAGCTCCTGTCTCTACAAGCTGGGCATGGTGGTGTACACCTGTGGTCCCAGCTACTGAGGAGGCTGAGGTGGGAGGATTGCTTGAACTTGGGAGGCAAAGGTTGCAGTGAGCTGAAATTATGCCACTGCACTCTAGCTTGGGTGACAGAGCGAGACCCTGTCTCAAAAAAAAAAAAAATCTGCACACCATAGGGTAACAATAATACTTTAGAGTATTGTTAAATGGATTGAGACACATGTAAAGCACTTAGAATAGCTCAGCAAATGAGATGAGGCTGAACAAATGGGATATAGTATTATTAATGTCTCTGTATACTGTATTTTCTTGCCTACATGGATTTTGAAATTATAGTGTTACAAGCACACTAGAAACATGAGAGACTATGTTTCTCATTATTTGGATACTCCACAGAAAGCAGAGATACTGGGGCCACATGAACACACTCACAGAATCCAATGTTTAGTCTATTTGCTGCAAGTTGATGAATTCAAATTATTTAAAAACTACAGTAAAAGACCAGGATATCATTCATGTTGGTACTCAAGCCCATCTATAATGTGGCATAAAATGAAATATGTATGGGTCTCTGCATTGAACATTTTTTTTTTTTTGCTTTAACAAGAGAAATACATCACAGAATCCATGCCTTAAACACTGACATTTTTCAGAAAGAATTGTTTCTACTCATGCTCTGAATGTAAAATGAATACTTCAGATGCTCCATTCATACAAAGGCCTTTATGTCCCCTTTCTCCCTGCAATAGTTCCAGTCTAGAATAGGCAACATTATGCAATTTGGTGACCCTGCTGCAACAATGGAAATGCTTCTCACAGGCTGTGGGAAAAAGACACCTTAAGGGGTTAACAGTAATATTTTGCAAATTGAGGCAAGTGAAGAAAAAAATACATTAGCATAAGAAAAGATAGCCGTAGGGAATTTTCCACTCAAATGTTTGATACTAAGAGTTCTGTGTTACCAAGGAGGAGGCTACAGAAGAAAACCCTTAGTGTCTACCGCATTCTTGAACTACATTGCCATTGTATTCATTCTATGGGTGAGAAAGACCTCATAGTTAGAGAGATGGAAAATTGTTCTTTCTAGTAAGAAATGTCAAAATTGAATATACTAAAAAAAGCTCTTGGATTGTTGCAACAAAGCAAAAGGATTCCTCAGGAACAGTCCCTAAAAGACTTCCTAAATGTGTCAGGACTAGGCTAGAGGTTAGAGATTAAAAATGAAAATCTTAAGCAATGACTTTAATTTTTTTTTTTTTTTTTTTTGGAGATGGAGTTTCACTCTTGCTACCCAGGCTGGAGAGCAATGGCGCGATCTCGGCTCACCGCAACCTCCGCCTCCTGGGTTTAGGCAATTCTCCTGCCTCAGCCTCCTGAGTAGTTGGGATTACAGGCACGTGCCACCATGCCCAGCTAATTTTTTGTATTTTTCGTAGAGATGGGGTTTCACCATGTTGACCAGGATGGTCTCGATCTCTCGACCTCGTGATCCACCCGCCTCGGCCTCCCAAAGTGCTGGGATTACAGGCTTGAGCCACCACGCCCGACCCGACTTTAATTTTTAACTAGAATGAGCCCCAAATGTCTGCAATTAATTTAACTCAAATGTAACAGTTTTTACTCATTTTAGAAATTGTGTACCTCACAGTATGTGAATGTAGTTAGCACGTATTTCCCTTTTGTTAATACACAATTATTTGAAGATTGATCTGTAGGAAATATCCAAACTGGAGTTGTAATTATTTTTGTTGAAAACATCCAAAATAAGTGTAAAAGGTTCTCACTGATTTAAGATAGAAAATATACTAATTGTTACCTGTTTCTATGAAGACGTTGAATTGGTTTTTAAATCAATCTTTACTCTTAGAAATGACTGGCCAGTTTAAAAAAAATGATTTATTTAAGTCTCAGTTTCATTGGGTTTAACACTACAATAAGCATAGCTGTTTAAATAAATCCTGATATATTTTGTTAAGATAGAGAAGGACCGGTTTATTTTAGATAACAAATTGTTTATGATATTAGGCACTGATAGCTATAGGAGGAATGGAAAAAAGACGTGTTGTTTTGTCTCTGAAAAAGATCTTCCCCAATTAAGAAGATGTAAGTTTTGGTTATTAAAAATAAGAATAGCATAAAATCAAAGATCATCCAAGTCCTGCAAAATTTATCCAGACGCTGATGATAAAAGTACTTAGAAGTCAATGTAAGCCCAATTTTCAGGGAATCGTGTCAGGAATCAATTGAGAAAGATGTCCTATGATCTTTCTATCATATGCAGATTATTTTCAAAATTTCTATGGAATAATGACCTTGTTTATCTTGTGCCTTCCTTTGTTTATTCAATTTATGTGTGAACATTAAAGAGATTAAGTTTTCAGGTCTTTATCCCTGAGAAGATGACACAAATGAATTTGCCTTCTCAAGCACAAAATAACTCTATGGTAGTCAATAAGGAAAGTCATTCTAAACTGAAGCTTGAGGGAAAAGGAAAAGGGAAGAGAATGTAAAAAGTACCAAGTAACGTCATTCCTTTAATGCTGAAATTTTTATAACAGGATTTTGCTACTTTTTGAGATGTTATGAATATTGCATCCCATATTAATGTAAGTAAAAAATGCATTCCACAACTGAAGTGAAATACTTTTTGATAACTCATGTCATGGTTTCTGAATCCTAGTATAGAAACTTGAGAAATGGTTATAGACCAAGACACTTTTCAATATAAATTTGACACTTTTATTCCCCGTGCTTGTTTACAAGACGTGCTATTCATTGGATAGTTCCTGGAGGAGTCACTATGTAGCAGCCACTCATTCATTAATAACAGATCATTTCAATGCACATGGGAGGGGGTGAGAATTATTTTTTAATCTGGGAACCGGCTCTAAGCCACTGAATACGTTATTGATACTCTGAATTATTCCTTCTGAAAGGCGTTTTTAGATCCACACTTTTACCATAGTCTGTCTATAATCCAGCTCTTTCCTACGTTTTTGCTACCACATTTTCTGATTTCATAAGGAGAAAGTAAAGTGAAAAGAGCTAACCTGTTTGAGTCTAAATGACAATAGTAGTTTAGAATGCTCTCTTATTTAGACATAGAATCATAAAGATGGAAAGCAGCTTATTGATGATGCCTTACGCTTTTCTTACTACCTGCCTAATACCCCTCATTTCAAAGGAAAGTAAAGCACATCAGGTCTTGTTATTTTACTTCTTGTACTTTTTTCTCTCTGTTCAGGAATCAAAAGACTATGTTCTTCCCTGATCTTCTTTTAGCTGAATTTAGCATTTCCTATTTCATTTTCCAGCCTGACCCCCTTTTTGTCTAGAAATATGGATACTTAGACATGTTGCCTATTTACTTTGGAATTAGGGTACATTAATTTTCTTCCTTTTACAGTATGCAGAACTAAGTCAAGCTTCTCTTGATGCAATAACCCACAGATATCAAAACCCATGGTAAGCAAATATGACTATATTTTTTATTAATTAGTGTGTTTTTTCCTAATTTGGTAGCAGGATTCATTTTTTTAACTTTTAATTATATTATCACTTTCTTTTTATTTCATACAGGTTTTTTTAAATTTGTGAATTTTTTGTCTAATAAACACAGCAAATCTCCACTATCTGCTAAATATTAAGGGCAGAAAAGGAGTAAAGCAAGCACAGTTAGAATAAGAAACTTAGAATATAGTAAAGAACAAGAAACAAGCCTGAAGCTATTAAGAATGGCAATGGGGTTAGTAGATTAGCTTTAACTTTATAAATAATTATCTCTGTAGAAGAAACAACAATATTAATTTTTTTCAGATTAAAAAAACCTCATTTCATGCTGTTGACCTGGAAACCATCATAATGGGTAATCTTGGTTGATAAACATAATCTTACTAAAGTCACATAATGGCTTCAATTCGTGTTATCTTGTGACAGCTTCTGACCCAAATGAAACATGGGTAGCTCAAGGCATGTTAAATTACAGGAAACAAGCAAAAGCTGGCCTGTTGTATAGGTATAATGTATGATTCAGAGTCCTAAGAGGGAAAAGATCAATCAGCATCGCTCTTGCAAGACTGCAGATTGCATATTATCTTTGTTATCATAGGTTTTTGAAGGTAAGGATTTCTATGGCCTATTTTACTTCACTTTTAATTGTTGAAGGATTCAGCTTTTAGCATGTGCAAAATCACTGGATTTTTATTAGCCCTGACATGGCTATACTATACCAACATAAACTGCATCAAATAGAAAAAAGACTTCAAACTCCATGTGAAAGTCTGTTAGTTATTTCAGAACAAAAAAAGACCTTAGTGGGCAATTCCTGTAACTTATTAAGCATGTACCATATTTAAAGCCACAAAGAAACAGGTATACTTTATTGCATGAATAACACGTATTCTCATTAAAATATTCTATTTCATTTATTTAGATAGCATTGCAGGCATACACTGTAAATACCCTGTGAAATATGTCCAAGCAAAGAAAAACATTAAAGACAACTGAAAATCAATGAAACTTCAAGAGGCATTGTGATAAAAACATGAAAATGTGTTGCGTTTATTTAAACATTAAAAACTTTTTGGAAGGTATCTGAGAAACACCGAAGCTCTGAGCATGTTCTCTGAATGAAAGAATGTTAGCTATATTCATTTCTAGGGAATATGCTATGGGTTCAACTGAGTCATGAGGATGTAGAATGCTTAGGAAAGAGACCTTGTATTTAGGAGACTGCAGATTCAACTAGGAAACGGGATATACGTGAAAAAAAAATTACTTTGCAAATACCGAGAGCCAAATTAATAATGAATAACTAGAAAATTACAGCTAGACATTTTTTAAATTAAATGTATTAACAACCCCCTGGACTCCTCTATAACTCCTGGCTTGGGTCCTATTTCTAACTAGTCAGAAACCAATAACCTGAATACTGCTTCCTTCTTGAGACTATAAGCACCTACCCTGTTTCAAAGCCCTTGATAGCAGGATACTCTTGAATAGGGCCCTGTCTCAGACAGGTTCAGGTGTGTCCCACCCCTTTGCATCCTGTAAGGTGGCCTGAGAGCCATCTTTCTCCTGGGCAAGGTTAGTGCTTAGCCTCCCAACCAATTTTTATGTTCTGCTTTTTTCAGTCAACAACATTCACTCAATACGTTCAGCAACTCCTGAGTTCAAAGCACTGTTAGATTCTGTGGCCAACATGGTGAACCAGCCAGCCTCAGTATATGCCCTTCCTGGAACTTGAATTCTAGGGGAGGAGACATACATTAAAGCAACTATGGCTTTTTAAAAATAATGTCTTGGCAGCCAGGTGCAGTGGCTCATGCCTGTAATCCCAGCACTTTAGGAGGTGGAGGCAGGCAGATCATGAGGTCAGGAGATCAAGACCATCCTGGCTAGTACAGCAAAACCCGTCTCTACTAAAAATTCAAAAAATTAGTCGGGCATGGTGGCATGTGCCTGAAGTCCCATCTACTTGGGAAGCTGAGGCAGGAGAATCACTTGAACTCAAGAGGTGTAGGTTGTAGTGAGCTGAGATTGTGCCACTACACTCCAGCCTGGGTGACAGAACAAGATTCCGTCTAAAAACTATATATATATTGGCTGGACACGGTGGCTCACACCCCTAATCTGCTGGGAGGCCCAGCGAGACAGGACGATCGCTTGAGGCCGGGAGTTTGAGTCTAGCCTTTGCAACATGGCAAAACCTTGTCTCTACAAATAATAGAAACTTAACTGGACATAGTGGCTGTGCCTGTCCCAGCTATTCAGGAGGCTGAGGTGGGAGGATGGCTTGAGCCCAGGAGTTTAAGACCCACCTGGGCAACATAGAGTCCTGATCTCTACAAGAAAAAAATTTAAAAATTAACCAGGAGTGGTGGTGCATACCTGTGCTCCCAGCTACTCAGGAGGCTGAGGTGAGGTGGGAGGAACGTTTGAGCCCGGGAGGTTGAGGCTGCGGTGAGCCTTGTCATGCCAGTACACTCCAGCCTGGGTGACAGAGCCCCTTCTCCAAAAATAAAAAATAAATGACAAAACCCCAACCATACTGTTTCTCAAACTTAAAAACAAATTTTTTAAAATTACAAATGTAAATCATGCTTAGGGTAATAAATAAAAAATATAGAGCTATATTGAGCAAAAGTTAATATCTGACCCAAATCCATCCAGTTTCTGATAAAATAGTTCATTATAAAGAATACAGGATAAAGGAGGTTTTTGCAGGGCACCCACCTGGTGAGGTGTTTGCTGAGGGAAGTGATTAAACTGATGCTGAAAAGAAAGGTGAGGCTGGGTGTGGTGGCTCATGCCTGTGATCCCAGGACTTTGGGAGGGAGGGCAGGGCAGGTGATCACTTGAGGTCAGGAATTAAAGACCAGCCTGACAACATGGTGAAACTCTGTCTGTACTAATAATACAAAAATTAGCCGGTTGTGGTGGTAGGCACCTGCAATCCCAGCTATTCAGGAGGCTGAGGCAGGAGAATTGCTTAAACCCGGGAGGTGGAGGTTGCAGTGAGATGAGATTGTGCCACTGTACTCCAGCTTGGGTGACAAAGAAACTGTGTCTCAAAAAAAAGAAAGAAAAAGAAAAGGTAGGTGACTATAAGATCATTCCTGCCCAAGAGAACAGCATGAGCCAGGCCCTGAGGTGGGAAAGAGTACATCAAATTACAACCTGTGCTGCAAGACCATATAGAAAGCAGTGAGGAGAGTAGTGAGATGAGGATCAGATTTTGTAGACTCGTTGTGACCCAGGCTAGAGAATTTGGATTTTAATAAACATAAGAACAAAGAAAATTCATTAGAAGATGTAAAATAGAAAGCAACATGATCCTAATTGCTTTGTTAAGATCATTCTGGAATGTTGGAATGCTACATGCAGAATGGATTGGAAGGTGACAAGAACAGCTGTATAAAGATCAGGGCTGGGTGCAGTGGTTGACGCCTGTGAGCCCAGCACATTGGGAGGCCGAGGTGTGCAGATCACACGAGGTCAGGAGTTCAAGAGCATCCTGGCCAACATGGTGAAACCCCATCTCTACTAAAAATACAAAAATTAGCCAGATGTGGTGATGCACACCTGTAATCCCAGCTACTGGGGAGGCTGAGGCAGGAGGATCACTTGAACCCAGGAGGCAGAGGTCGTTGTGAGCTGAGATCATGCCACTACACTTCCAGCCTGGGCAACACAGTGAGACTCTTATCTCAAGAACAAAAAGAGAGAAAGAAGGAAAGAAGAAAGGGAAGGAAAGGAAGGAACAGCCAGGAGACAATTTCATTTTTACAGGGCCACTCTTGAGTTTTCAGTGGGCTTTGCAAACAAGCCAAAACAAATGTGATTATGGAGAGCTGGGGCCAGGGGAAAGGTTCAGTGGAGCTTTTAAAGAAAGGTGGGCTTTAAGTAAAAGGAGAAAAGAGGAGACAATATTAACTATAATGATGGGAAGTAAAGCATGTGTGTACAGCAATCTGATGAAGCAGATTTAACATTAATTATACAGCTGAAGAAATTGATGTCAGAGATTATGTCACATGACCAAGGTCACAGAGCTCACGTTTCAGTCCAGGCTGACTGATTCTGTTGGTCTGGGTTGGGATCTGGATTTGGACATTTTGTTTATCTTTTTTTGAGACAGAGTCTCGCTCTGTTGCCCAGGCTGGAGTTCAATGGCGTGATCTCTGCTCACTACAACTTCTGCCTCCCAGGTTTAAGCCATTCTCCTGCCTCAACCTCCCAAGTAGCTGGAACTACAGTCATGCGCCATCAAGCCTAGGCTAATTTTTGTATTTTTAGTAGAGATGGGGTTTTGCCATATTGCCCAGGCTGGTCTCGAACTCTGACCTCAGGCGATCCACCTGCCTCAGCCCCCCAAAGTGCTGGGATTATAGGTGTGAGCCACCGCATTCAGCTTGGGCTTGGACATTTTAAAAGAGCTCTACCAATGATTGTGATGTGTCACCAGGGCTGAGAACCACTAGTGACAACTGAGAAATGAAGGGGACTGAGCCTTGTGGAGTGCCCACATTGAGGGCAAGATAAATGGGAGCCACTAAAGAAGAAAAGGAGCCTTATAGGTCAATTCCTGTAGAAGGCTACTTACAAAAGCCAGCGAAGAATTTGGAGAGGAAGAGTTTAATACAAGGAAACAAAGAAATCAAGGAAAACACAGCAGACAAATATTTAGGGGTGATCAGTGGCCTCAGAAAAAGCAGTATGGGAAAAGTAGGATGCTTTGAGTCAGCGTCACTCGTGCTGAGGAATGTTTGTCTACTGACATAATGCAGGCAAGTGTCCACTTTTTATGACGTGAGAAATTCAGTTAGAGCACAATTACAGGATTTCCTCCATTTGAAGGCATATGTTTTACATTTTAATATCTTGAAATCAGGATGTGTTTTATAATAGTTGTTTATAAATGCAAGTGTTCAAATGTGGTACCTCCTTTTGTCCTCCTGTGCAAA